GATAGTCTGTGGACTTTCGTGACTGGTCTCTTTCACTTAGCATAATGTCATAAAGGTTCATTCATTTGTAGCATGTGTCATTCCTTTTTATGGCTGAATAATATTCCGTTGTATCCATATACCGTAGAAGTTTGGGTTGTTTCCACTTTTTGGCTATTATGAATAATGTTGCTATAAACATTTATGTAAAAGATTTTATGTGAACCTACGTTTTCATTTCTAGTGGGTATATACCTAGGAGTAAAGTTGCTGTAGACTATGTTTATATCTCTCCAAATTCATATGTTAAATTCTAACCTCCAAAGTGATGGTGTTAGGAGAGGGGAGCCTTTGGAAGGTGATTAGGTCATGAGGGTGGAGCCCTCATGAATGGGATTAGTGTCCTTATAAAAGAGACCCCACAGAGCTCCTTTGCCTTCTCAGGCCTCAGGACACACTGACAACATAGCTATCAGTGAGCCAAGAAGTGGGCCCTCACCAGACACTGAATCTGTCGGCACCTTCATCTTGCACTTCCAGCCTCCAGAACTGTGAGAAATGAATGTCTGTTCCACCCAGTGTATGGTATTCTTTTATAGCAGCCCAAATGGACTAAGACATTGGGTCATGTGGTAACTCTATGTTTAATCGTTTTAGGAACTGGACTGTTTTCTATAAGTGGTTGCACTATTTTACGTTCCCACCAGTAGTGTCTGAGGGTCTCATTTCTCCACATCATCACAAATACGTATCTGACTTTTTCATTCTACCTGTCCTAGTGGTGTGAAGTAGTATGTCATTGTGGTTTTGATTTGTATTTCCCTAATGACTAATGTACCGAGCATCTTTTTATGTGCTTATTGGACATTTGTACAACTTTCCTGGAGAAGTGTCTATTCTGACACTTTACTTATTTCTAAAATTGGATTTTCTTTTTATTATTGAACTGTAAAATTCTTTTTATATTCTAGATACAAGTTCCTTATCTGATATATGATTGTAAATGTTTTCGCCCGTGCTGTGGATTGTCTTCGTTTTCTTGATAGTGTCCTTTGAGGCACAAAAGTTTTTAATTTTGATGAAGTCCAGTTTATCTATTTTTCTTTTGTTGCTCATGGTTTTGATATTTTAAGAATCCTTTTCCAAATCTAAGGCTATAAAAATTTACCCCTATGTTTTATTTTAAGAGTTTTATAGTTTTAGCTCTTACATTTAGGTCTTTGATCCATTTCGAGTTAGTATTTGTACATGGTGTGACATAAGGGTCTAAACTTCATTCTTTTGCATGTGGCTATCCAGTTGTCACAGCACCATTTGTTGAAAAAATTATTCTTTTCCTATTTGTCTTGGCACCCTTTGAGAAAATCAGTTGACCTTAGATGTATGGGTTTGTTTCTGGATTTTCAGTTCTGTTCTATTGATCTGTTTATGTACGATGTGCCAGTACCACACTGTCTTGATTACCATTACTTTGTAGTAAGTTTTGAAATGGGAATAGTGTACTATTTGGAATCTCTTATGATTCTCTATGACTTTTAGAATCAGCTAAGCAGTTTCCACAAGGAAGTCCGATAGGATCCTGATAGGAAGTACACTGACTTTGTAGATTAGTTTAGGGAGTATTGCTATCTTAACAATGTTATGTCTTCTGATCCGTGAACATGGTATGGTTTTCCATGTATTTAGCTCTTTTAAAAAATTATTTCAATAACATTTTGTAGTTTTCAGAGAACAAATTTTGAGCTTTTGTAAAATTTATTCGTAAGTATTCTTTTTGATGTGTTTGTAAATGGAATTGTTTTCCTAATTTCTTTTTTTGATTGATCATTGCTGGTGTGTAGGATCACAATGGAGTTTTGCATATTGATCATGTATTCTGTTATGTCGTCAAACTTATTAGTTCTATTAGGTTTTTAGTGGATTCCTTAGGATTTTCTGTGTGAAAGATGATGTCATCTGCAAATAGAGGTAGTTCTTCTTCCTTTCCAATCTGGATGCTTTTTATTTCTTTTTCTTGTCTAATTGCCTTGATGGGTGCTCTGTTATTTTCAACAATAATCTGGGACACAAATCTCTCTAGAGGCTAATCCATCAAGCTGGCTCCTTTGAGGGAATGTTTCTGAGGCCCCATTTGATAACTGCTTTGACCCCAAGGGGCTCCTCCTGCTCCTCTTCCCCATTTTCTTCTGCAAGCTGGACATCAGCGTTAGTGTAGCCTCCATCGTGAGTCGCCTCCTGATTGCCCTTCACCACAGCCTCCACCACTGTTGGAAATGAAGTCAGTGCCTTTGGGAAGAAAGTCTTCCTTCCACAGCTCCAAGTGCTCCTGCTGGCTCCCAGCTATCTCTTTGATGTCCTGCTTCTCCTCCAGGCAGAGTCTCTGAACCAGGGCTCTGGAGTGGGGGTGGGGACCATGTGCGCTTCTCTTTAAGTGGCACCCCACTCTGGGAGCTGAGCGTTTGGTGGGGTGGGAGCAGCCGGGGGTTCTCTTGGTTTGCTTCTCCTGGTGTGTGATTGCCACCACAGGATTCCTAGTGTTTCACGCTCAAGGTAGCCTCTGTCCTTGAATGGGGGCTGAATGAAAGAAAGGGGCCCCCATCTCTCGGCCCCACTCACGCAAGAGTCAGCCTTAGGATAAGAAATGAAGCCGTGTTCTACCAAGAGAACAGCCTGCAGCCCCAACTAGGCGAGCAGGAGCTGGCTGCTGTTGATGCGGGCTCGGTGTGTCGAGGAGTCGAAAGAAAGATTTCTTTGACTCTCAAGGTCTGTCACTAGTGCTCTTTTATTCAGAGAATAGCATGAAGTAGCATGGGGGCAGGACCGTGGGCGGGAAGAGCTGCCGGCATGGGGCCAGGACCCATGGGCAGGAAGAGCTGCAATGTGTTGAGGGTTAGAGCTAAATTTATAAGGCATAGGTATGTAAGGTATTTCTTGACAAGACAAAGGAAAGATCATGAAAAAAATCGTTAAAATGGTCTCAGTGCAGGTGGGGTCTGGTTGTTGGGTGGTCCTGTAACTTTAGATAAGAATCAGATTGGGTTAAAGTCAGGACGCTCTATGCTTTCTGGAGAATGATATAGATCAGTATGTAGGGCAGGAGCCTTGGGCTTCTCTCCCTGGGGCAGGGGCCGTCTTGATCCTCATCACTGTGAGGTGTGGAGTGCAGCCTTAGCCTGCTGAGCTGGACAGGAGGAGGAGGTGGCGGCCAGTCCAGGTTCCACAGATGCTCGCCTTCTGTAGGTGTTTTGAACTTCCAAATATTTGTAGATTTTCTCAAGAACATGTTTCTCTGTTCAGTATTCACCCTTAGGGGCATTTGCAGAGGCTTTAGATGGTTGTGGTGGTTTTATTTTTTATACACTTTTCAGCAGTTTCCCGGGGGAGTGGGTCCTCGGAACTCTTCATACCATCATGGTGGAAGCTGATTCTTGCTTTACTTTTTAAAGCCCCGTTTAAGTCTCTTAGCAGATTTAGGGATTGTGTGTGTGTGTATAAGGTCAGAGTGACGGACTAATGCTTCCTGCATTACTCATTTTGTTTATTTCTTGGTGTAAGTCAAATTCTCCTTCTCCTTCTTCTAATAGGAAGTGCTTAATACAGAAGCAGGTTTTTTCAAGAGTAATGGTAAATGGAGAGGGGGGCATGGAGTGGGGGTGGGAGAACAAGATATAAAAAGCCTGGTGTCAATGTTGCTTTGTATGGCATTCTCCCAGCATGTGTGGACGGAGGATGTGGAGGGCTTTAAAGGCAGGGTCAGAGGTGGAGCCGGGGCCGGCTGTCAGCTGGGGGAACGTGGCAGCAGCCATTCTCTACAGCACGAGGACATGGCTGGCGCAGTTCTGATCTGGGGCTGGTGCCTCATTCACCACCAGCTCTGAAGCCATTTGTCTAAAATCAGTGTTTAGGATGGTGCCATTTAGTGTGTTTATATATCTCTAATAGTTTTTAAAGGAAATGATAGATTAAGACATGAGTTTTCTTTCTTTATCTAATGGTTCTTTCTCATTTCTGCCTCTTAAGTGTACGAATCTAACTTGTAAGTTCACTTTTGCAATAGTTACTTGGAATACTGCTATGATTTATAGACACTAGCATCCTTTCATCTGAGTTTCATGTGTGTTTATTTTGGCATCTTTATACAATTTGGAGTTGTTCTAGTTTGACATTTAATACAATTAGGTTCTTGTTACTATTTTTCGTAGTATACTGTAAATACTTATGTCGACGAAAATAATCCATATCCAATCTGTAAATGAAAATTTGGGTGAGTTTATTCTGAGCTTAAATCTGAGGATTATAACCCGGGAGAGTCTTTCCACAAAGGAACAGAGCACTCCAAAGAAGTGGGGGTATAAGGGTGGTTATATACCCTCAAAGAGGATGTTTCACATAGGATTGAAATGTCCCTTTTACAATAGTCGCGAGACTGCTCTGTCGGCACAGCGATTGATGGAAATAGCAGGTAGGCCTTCTGTCTCAGTGAACGCAGCAGGGTGGCAGTCTGTTGTCTCCAGCTGGGTGGTCACAGGTGAGCTGGGAGGTGAGTGCAGCAATCAGTTCCTAGCCTAAGGAAAAATGCTAATGTCGGGGGGAAGTTGCATCTTTATCTCAAGGGCCTTTGTTCTGGCCATAGGAAATGTCTAAGCAGATATGCAATGCGTGCTCAATAGCCAGTCAGGCCCTTTTGAAAAAAAAAAGTCAGGCCGAATTAGGTTTATACCAAATGGCTTCCTCATATACTCCAATATATCCTATTGCTTGCCATTTTTATTTGTCACTTAAAATTTTAGTATCATTAATAATTATGTGATTATATCATTAACGATGATTAGCTTCTCATGTAGCTGTGGGAGTGGAGAATAGAATCTAAAATTTTTGGCAGATTATGGACTGTTCTGTTACTTCCGTCCCTAAACTCACCTGAACAGTGGATAAGAAAGCTCACTGAAAAAAGGAGAATAGCGTGTGTTTCATTTTACTGCTTTGCTTTTTCTTACCATTGCTCACTCCTTCTTCCACAGCTCTCTGCATGCTGCTGTCCTGCTGTCCCTCACTTTGCTGTGAGAGCTTTGCTGCCTCCAGGAGCAGCCGAGCTTCTCTTCACAGAGCAGTGAGAAGGCGGGCCTGGGGTGCTGGCGCCGGTGTGCTGTGCTCTCATGCTCGCTCTGGTGGTGGTGGTGCTGTCAGAAGCAGGAAGGAAGTGGATGCACCCCAGTGCCTGTCTGGAGGAGAAGGCCGGACAGTGCCGTGTGTGAACTGCTGCTCTTTGCCACAGGGAGGGAGCTACCAGCATGGTGCTGAGCAGAAAATGCAAGTCCCATACCATGCAAGGGAACCTTGGGGCACTAGATTCTTGGAAAAGATAGTATTCGTCTCACCCTGCTCCTCCTGCCTCACGGGACAATGGAAAAGAGCCTGTGACCGTGAAGTTTGTGTTGGGAAGGAAGACAAGATGGAAGGGAGCAGGAGGAAGAGAGGAGAGCCCTGGCAAGGAGGCCGAGTGGCCAGCAGCTGGCCTGGCTGGACCCAGAGGTCTGCAAGCCAATGTCTGTGTGCGGACTTCAGGGGTGGTTTCAGGGTTCATGTGACAGCCTCCCGCATAGTTCCTAGCTCAGCCCAGGCCCCACGGACTCCCTGGTAAGGTCTAATCCTTTGAGGGTTGTTCACTGGAAGGTGTGCACACTTCTTTCATGATCTCTGTACAGTTATGCACAAGTCTGGAATTTGAGAATAATCATTTTTTTCTTTTATTCCTAACCTAAGCCTCATTGAAGTATTGATTATCTGATAACATTTGTTTTTATCAGCTTTTATATTCCCCTTGCTTTGATTAAAGAGGATATTCAAAGGCTTTTTAGGAAGTAGATAGCAGTAGATGGAATTTTCCATTGGCTTCTGGCAACGGCTTAAGTTCATCTAGCTGAAGTATTTCTAGCAACAGAATCCCCAAATTTTGCATTTTGGTTGGTAAAGTAATGGTTTGTGTTTCTTCATCGAGATTGATTTTTCCAGCTTTTCACAGAGGGAAATTTTAAGCATCTTTGTTTTAGTCCGTTCTGGCTGCTCTGACAAAAGAGCACAGCCTGGTGGCTTAAACAACCGAAATTCATTTCTCACAGTTCTGGTGAGGGCCCTCTTCTGGGCTGCAGACTTCTCACTGTGGCTGTGTCCTCACATGGGGAAGGGGCGAGGGAGCTCTCTGGGGTCTCTCTTATAAAGGCACTAATCCCATCCTGGGGGCTCCACCCTCATGACCTGCTCACCTCCCTCAGGCTCCACCTCCTAACACCATCACGTGGGGTTAGATTTCAACGTGTGAGTTGTGGGGACACAGAGGTTCAGACCCCAGTGAACTTGAGCACTGTGAAGACTGTGTTCCTCCTCCCGACCCTCTCCCCGCTGAGCATCACAGGATGGCTGCATAATGACCTGCTATTAAGCTGATGAGGACTTAACAGGTGTGCATGGATTGGTACAGAAGAGTTAATGCACTTAATTGGATTAGTCCTTTCATACTTGGCAAACCTGTGGAACAAAAGAGTGCTTGTATCCAGGAGGCTGCAGCCAGGCTGCTTTCCGCCTGTGGGTGCTTGTGGTACGTGGGCAGTGTGTGGGGTTTTGATTTTAGATTACTGAAGTAATCCACGTGTATTAGCTAATATGTTTGTTTTCATCAGGCATACAAGATTATAAGAAGGTTATAATTTATATTGGTTACCTAGGTTGAATATTAAGTTGTCACTTAAGAACGTTAATTTTTATCTTAATGAAATACTGTTAAAAAATTTGGTGTGGGAAGTAAAAATTTCCTTTTCCCCACTCTCCAGATCCTACTCTGAGTAATTAACACTGTTAATATACAATTAAATAGATATTTTAAAAGGACATAAGGTGGAAGTTTTTCAGAATGAGAAATGATTAAAAATGCAGCTTAAAAGCTCTGAAAGAATTTATTAAGCTTGGGTTGTGACATGTGCCTAAACAAAGAACACAGGTTCATTGGTCTTAATGAGTGTCTTGTCACTATCTTCGAGTGCCCGTTTTTGGTGTGTTAGAATTTCAGCATTGCCAAGAGCTTTACATTGACTGTTCTGAAATAAACGGTAGAGCACAAAGAAATCAGTTAATTCAGAGTGTAAATTGGCTACACTTGCAGGCATCGACAGGTCACGTGTGGCTAAAGAGATGCCTTGTTACTCCGGAAACTACCTGGATATTCAGCACAGGTGATGGATTAAGTGTGTGTGTGTTGATTCCGGGTGTGTGGCGGAGCCCTGGATCCACTGCTCTGAGCGCCTGCTCCCTGGAGAGACCTCGATTCTTACCTCCTCTGGTAGGTGAATCTGTTAGGGACGCTGCCCTCGCTGACTTCTTTCCGGCTTCCAGACTCTTTGAATAAACACTTCACTGTTGCCTCCCAAAGTTATACAAAAGAAAGAAAACTAAAGGAGAAGAGGAACCTATCACCTAAAATGCCATGTCTCGAGCATGTCAAGGGAAACCGGAGGATGCCTGTGCAGCTGCTGGGCCTTTCTGGGCCAGTCCCCTGTGTCTTAAAGATGTCTTTTACAGAAATGCGGGGGAGAACAACTGGAGCACCATGGCCGGCTGCTGGCAGGTGAGGGGATTATGCAACCAGGTAGCGATGGAGCCTTGTCAGAATAGTTCTGCTGCCAGGAACCTGTTTAAATGACAGAAGGCCAGGAATCAACAGAGATTCCTTTGTGCTTGTGAGGCCACACGTCACCCTGTCTGTGCAGCACTAGGACAGAAGGCACAGGGCAGGGATCTTGAGCTCCGCCTGATTGGAGTCCTGTCTGTATATCGCCGCCTGAAAGATTAAAATTGCAGAGATAACCTGAGACAGGCGGGAAGCTGAGCAAGGCTGACTCCTAAGCCCATTCTCAGTGTCAGGTGACGTTTTCTCCTGTAAACAAGAAGATGCTGTGTGTGTTTATAAGAGTCTTGTGTTTTATTTTCTTTTCCCCATTTTTTTACTTGGCCGTTTTTATTTTTTTAACTCTTTATATTGAGGATATTGGATTTTTATCTTTATATATTCCAGTTTTCCCAGTATTTTGCTTGTTTTTTGTTTTTTAAATAAAGAACCATAAAGTTTATAATTAAAAGCAGTTCCCCACATCTCCCCTCCTCACCATGAGTTGTCCCCAGAGGTTATCACTTTTAAGCTATTTCTCAAGACTTGACTTGATGTTTCCAAGTTTAGTGCTTATTTTACATTGCACAGAGTAAGAATTCTGTGGGAATTCGTCTCTCTGGGGACTGACACACTGTGTGTAAACTTATTCTTTTGTCTCCAGTTTCAGAGGTGAGCACCTTTGGGATGAGTGCTTTTCTGTGGTGTGAGAAAGATGCTTTCCACGGTCACGAGCGTGGCTCTAGCTTCTCATCGTGTTCCTATGGTATAGAATTCCTGACGAACAGGTTCTTTCCCTTACACTTTGAAGATACATTGCATTCTGGCTGCTATAATTGGTCAGGTGTTTGTTGACAGTCTACGTTTTGTTGTTGTTTTGCTGGAAATCTGTTTTTCTCTCGTAGCTTTCAGCATTGCACTTTCCTTTAGTTGACTGGTTTCATCACTCTTTGTGGGTGTGGGCTTAAGAGGGGTCTTGTTCTGAACTAACGGTACAGCTTCGTGTGGCCACCTCATGTCTGTCTTTAAGTCTGGGAAATTCTCCATCATTCTCTTACTTTTCCTTGTGAAACTTGTATTAGATGTATTAATAGTATCTTGACTCTGTCTTGAAATCTGCTCTGTCTCTTAATCATGCTTCATTTTTTCCATCTAGTGATGTTTCTGTTTTATATTTAGGACTTCTCCCAATACACTTATTATCTTTTTAGTAATATTTCATCTCCTTTTGTGTCCATCATCTGCATTTTATTTTCCCCAGGCCTCCTCTCTCTCCCTCTTCACCCGTCAGACAGCCCTACAAGAATACTCTCTTCCTTGCGTTCTTCGTGTGGGGTGGCATTTCCCTGGTGGACAGGACAGACCACGTAGAGGGCCTAGCCACTGGCTTTGTGTCCTGTGGCCTTCTGAGTGTCCCTCTCCTGGTGGTGTCCTGTGCCCTCTCTCCTGCCCTTTCCCACAGGTACTGGCCTCTCAGTGAGGAGAGCCCAGAGCTGAGATCACTGGGCCTGGGAGGGGCTGCTGGGGATGGGGGAAGCCTGCTCAGGTCTCCTTGCCGGGCGAGTTCTTTCTGTACATGGTTGCTTTTTAAAGTTCAGCCACGTATGAAGTGAATTAACTTCTCTTCTGTGCGTCTAGAATGATATCAGCTTTTATCCTCCTCAGAGAATTGAGAAAATAGTCACTCAAATCATTTTCTATCTTTGTGGCTCAGATGAGGAATGCAAGTCGAGAAAGGCAGTGATTATCACCATGTTTTAAGATGACAGACAGCTCAGGACACATGCATTTTTGATAGATCATACATGCACCTTGTGCTGTAGACTGAATATTTGTGTCCCTTCCAAATTCTTACGTTGAAGCCCTAACCCACCGTGATGGTGTTGGGAGGTGGAGACCCCGTGATGGGATTAGTGCCCTTGGAAGAAGCGGCACAGGAGAGCTTGCTCCCGTCTCTGCTCTCCCCTGCGAGGACGCAGAGAAGATGGCCATCGATGAACCAGGAAATGGACTCTCACCAGAAACCAGATCTGCTGGCACCTTGATCTCGGACTTCCTGCCTCCAGAAATGTGAGAAATAAATGTTTAAGCCGCCCATCTGTGGTACATTTGTTATAACAGCCCAGACTGACTGGACACATGGTATAAAATTTACAGTGTGCAAGAGGGTACACAGTAAGACTCCTTTTATTTCTATCTGCCAGCCGCCTGGTTCTCTGCAGTTAATTAACAGTCTTGCTCATCCTTCTGGAGATAAGGGTATGCATATAAAACGTATAAATATAGAAAATATACACAAATATATAAAAATATAAATTTACATAAATATGTAAATGTAATCAGTATATAAAATGGATATATGTGTGTGTCTTTCTATACTTACAGGTGGAGCACGTGATATGGACTGTTGTTGGCACCTTGCGGTCTCGATCTTTTGGTGGTTTTATGTTGGTCACTGTGACCCTTTCTAACCCAGCCTCCGTATGCTTAGGCATGGGTGTCCCACGTGCTGAGCCCCATGCTGACGGGCATTCAGTGTCTGCGCTCTGGGACTGCAAAGTGCGTTTCCTTGCTTATGGCCTTTTTGGACACGAAGACACGCTTTGCTCTGAATCACGGACATTTCTCTTCCCTTCCATTAGCATGGATTATTTAGAGTTGACTGTCAAATGATTAGGATATTTAAAAGAAAAGATATAAACATGTTGAGCAAGTGACCAAATAAGGTACATAACCACAGTTTAATTGGCGGTTGATCACAAATATTCTTTTTTTTTTAAAGATTGGCACCTGAGCTAACATCTGTTGCCAGTCTTTGTCTTTTTTCCTTCTTCTTCTCCCCAGAGCCCCCCACACATGTTCTTTCACATTTTAGGAACCACTGCATGTGTCTACTACTGTCAGCAAATGCAGTTATAGTGCTGTGCACTCCAGAATGAGCGCCACATCCATTATCACTCCTCTTGCTCTGTGGTTATGAGTCACTTTGACTTGTATGTTCCCTACTGAGGAGCATTTCCACAGAATGTTATTTAAGGCAAACCATGTGAAGCATTAGCTGTTTCTCCACTTAATCTAGCGAGTTTTTGAAGAGTTTATTGCTGTGTGCCTGCCAACCTGGAAAAATTAAAACTATCAGCTGGATGGATTCAAGCCACACCCGGCCCGGGGAGGCCTGCCTGGTCCCCAGCGCAGCCTCTGTTCTGGGTTTAACCTGGAAAACGTGGAGGCCCTCTGTGCTCCTGGCCTTGATTCTCTGGTAGAGTAACTGATGTGTGTCCCTTTTGTTGGACGGAGGGAAAGTCACAGGAACATGGATAAGCCAGAGTCCTCTGCTTCTCTCTTACCAACCCCGAGGGCTGGACGGCCCTGGGCCCTCATTACCCGCATAATCCCAGCAGATGTTGGGCTGCTCATCTTTGTGTCTGCCTTTGTTTCTGCATATGCCTGAAGTGCAACTGTACTCTTTGAATGGTTGTTTGAGTAAGACAGTAGGGACAGGCATGGTTCAGGAGGAGGGGTGCCGCTCTTGGCTTTGTGCTGGCCCACTTCCTCCTTTATACCTGGAAGGCTGGCGACTCCTCTCTCGCCCTCCTTGGAGCCTCCGAGTTTCTTATTTTCTTGTCTGTGAGATCAGGAGTCGGGGGACCACTTTCACCTAAGGCCTTATCCACTCAGGGTTCTGTGCGCTGGTGAAGGCCCCATCAGAATTTTCCCTGTAGCCTGATGGCTCTCGTCTGATAAGAGGGCCTGGGATTTGGTTTCAAAGCTTGGCCTAGAGGCCGGAACTGGGTTATGGAGTCAGTTTTCTCTAGGATTACTAGTTTCTTAGTAACTTTAGAGTGTTTAAACATAAGATTATCGTGAGTTCTAAAGTTTAGGACAGTTAGGAAGAAAATTAGCTTTTTTATTACATCATAGTGAAACCTTAGCCTGGCCGTGGCTCTCTACAGTTTTCCTGAGACACACCAGGCTGAGCCAGTTCTTGTGCTGGACACTGGTGGGAGTGCCTGTGTCTCCTCTCTGGCTTGGAAGTGAGGCCCTACAGTAACTGCCATCTTCACATCTTCAGGCAGAGCAAGGATGGGGAGGCCAAGGAGGCTTTGGGGAGGCTCCCGTAGCCCCCCGTCACCAGTCACCGCAACACTGCACAACCCGAGTGCTTTTCACCTGGAGGAGCTTCAGGACGTATCTTAACCCCTCCTTGCAGGCATAGTGCCCACCGTAAGCCCCTTCTACAGAAAAACCCTGGAGTTATGGATCTGCCGTTGATGCGGGGTCGGTAAGCGGAGTCGTCGAAAGGAAGATTTCTTGGACTCTCAAGATCTGGCAGTAGTGCTCTTTTATTTAGAGAATAGTGTGGAATAGCATGGGGACAGGACCCATGGGCAGTCACAGCTGCTGCTGCTGCCATGGGGGCAGGACCCATGGGCAGTCAGAGATGCTGCTGGCATGGGGAGCTGCTGCTGCCGCTGCTGGCATGGGGACAGGACCCATGGGCAGGCAGAGCTGCTGCCGGCATGTTGCTGCTGCCGCTTCTGCTGCAAACATGGGTGGAGAGTAAGACTAAATTTAAGGCATAGGTATGTGAGTCATCTCTTTACAAGGCAAGAAAAGTTAAAATGGTACCAGTGCCGGTAGGGTCCGGCCATTGGGCGGTCCCACAACTTTTAGATAAGAATCAAACCGGATTGAGTAAATGGCAGAAGTCACCGCTTAAATACTATCTTCAGCTAAAGACAAAGGAGGATTTTGGCGGGGTGGGGTCAGTTACATGAGGTTGTCAGACAGTAAACAACTTAAGTCCTTGCCTTCCCCATTAAGAGTTTCCAGAGATAAGGCCATCCTGCCTTCTTCCTGGCACAGAGAGGGAGGCATCTTTACAGATGGAGGTTTCCCTTACAAATGTAAATGTTTCTCAACAAAGGGCAAGCAAACTCTGTTCCTTGGAGCCTGCTTCTCATCTGCAGTTTTAAAATCAACTAGCCTAAAAATCCTCATCGCCATGACAGAGAACATTGGCCTCAGGTTTTACGTAGCTGGCTCTGCACATTTACCTCCCTCCCATCCACATGAGGAAATGCACTGAGTGTGATTGGCTGTGGGGATGAGAGCCCTTTTTAGTGAGGGGAGGAAATCACTTGTGTCAGGTCACACACTGGGTCACACATCTCCCACCTAGTGGGGATAACCATGACACTGAAGTCATACTCTCTGTCACCACAGAATGGTAACAGTCTTTTCCTAAAAAAATACTAGGATACATGGCCTAACAAAGATTTTTAATTTTTTTTCTGACCTATGAACTTAAGTACTTTTAAAAAGTACACACACAATTGCCTGTATTAAAGCATCAACATTGCAGGGGGTCTGGATTGGACTGGTATCTGTGGGTTATGTGGCGTACATGGAATCTGACCAGAGCATTTTATTGTATTCTTATTAGTCATCTCTTGCATTAGTTTCTCTTTTTCAAAGATATTTTGGTGTATTTCTCTTGTCCCCATCATTGAAATGGTACATCTCATTTATCACCATTCAGCTTTGATGTAATTTTTCTTGCTCTGATAAAATTTGTGTTTTGATCCTCTTTTAGAGCAAGGGTTGCATCAGGCAGCCTGGGGGGCAGTTAGCTATTGCTGTCTCACAGTGGGTGAATATTATGCTTCTTGGTTACATACTATGTGGGAAAATTTGATGAGAAATTTGCATCTGTTCCATTTGGATTATTAAAGCCTTTAAAGCTAGAGTTTTATATTTGAGAAAAAATAGAATAAAATGCAAATGACACTACATTTTGTTCTTTAAGTAGCTTCGGGACATTTTGTTCAAAATTTAAGGTTACAAATTGTGAAACTACGTTTTGTTGAGACATAATTGACATGTAGCACTGTAGAAGTTTCAGGTGTGCAGTGTGACTTGACTCACATATATAGTGAAATGATGACAGCAAGAAGTTTAGTTAATATCCATCTCATAGAGATGCAAAAAAACAGAAGAATGTTTTTTCTCTTGTAATGAGAACTCTTAGAATTGGCTCTTTTAGCAACTTTCCTATGTATCGTACAGCAGTATTGTTACCACACAAAGATGGGGACCTCTGCCTGATGGGCATAAAAAGCCAATTATTACAGCATCAGCTTTTGAGAAAAGAAGAGGCTTTATTATGAGGCCGGCTAGCAAGGGAACAGAAAGCAGAGTTCTCAGATGTCTCCTTGATTCAGGGTTGAGGGCGAAATTTAAGAGGTATGGAGAAGAGACTGGTACATGGAAATGCTGGCAGGGCAAGCTTTGATTGGAGGGCTTGAAACATTCATGGTGAAGTTTTAAACATTTATGGTGAGGTGTGGAAGGGGCGTTAACACAGGATCTTCCTAGACAAAGACCCCTCCCTTACGAGAGTCCGACATTCAAGTTCTGGTTGTGTCCTGGTCCTTTGGTCCTGTGGGCGAGACTCTTTGGTTCCAGTGTCATTTCAGGTCAGGATTTTCTCCTCTGCACGTGCTCTGGCTGTGTGACTTCTAGATTTTGCCTCTGAAAAGCAACTCTGAGTCACTCTGCTGCTAGGATGGGGTCAGTTGGAACTCGTCCTGGTGGCCCGTGGTGCAGCACTGGCTCTGCCATCACACCCACGTTGCATCCCCAGGATCCGTTCATCGTGACCAAGGTGTGCACCTTTTGACCTCCTTCCTCCACTTCCCCCGTCCCTCACTCCCACCTCTGGTACCACAAATCTGATCTCTTTTTCTATGAGTTTGGGTTTTTTGGTTTTTATAAGATTCTGCTAATAAGTGAGATCATGTGGTATTTGTCTTTCTCTGACTTATTTCCCTTGGCATAAGGCCCTCAAGGTCCATTCATGTTGTCACAAATGGCAAGATTTCCTTTCCTATCTACTTCCTATATGTATATACACACCACGTTTTCTTTATCCATTCATCCATTGATGGACACTTAGGTTATATCCATGTCTTGGCTGTTGTGAATAATGCTGCTGTGAACGTGGGACTGCAGACATCTTTTTAAGGTTTCCTTTGAATATATTCCCAGAAGTGGAATTCCTGGATCATATGGTACTTCTATTTTTATTTATATTTTTGAGGGACCTCCATACTGTTTTCCATAGTATCTGCACCAATTTACAATCCCACCAACCAGTGCACAAGGGTTCCCTTTTCTCCACATCTTCACCAACACTTGTTATCGCTTGTCTTTTTGGTAATAGCCATTCTAACAGGTGTGAGGTGATATCTCATTGAGGTTTTGATTTGCATTTCTCTGATGATTAGGTGATACTGAGCACCTTTTCATGTACCTGTTGGCCATTCGAATTATCCTCTTTGGAAAAATGTCTATTTAGGTCCTTTGCCCATTTTTAAATTGGATTATTGTTGTTTTGTTATTGAGTTGTATGAGTTCTTTTATATATTTTAGGTATTAATCCCTTATCAGATATATGATTTGCAAATATTTTTTCCCATTTCATAGGTTTTTTTATTTTGTTGATCATTTCTTTTGCTTTGCAGATGCTTTTTAGTTTGGTGTAGTCCCACTTGTTTTTTATTTTGTTGCTTATGCTTTAGGTGTCATATCCCAAAAATCACTGCGAAGACACATGTCAAGAAGCTTTTTTCCTATGTTTCCTTCTAAGAGTTTTATGGTTTCCAGTCTTATATTTAAATCTTTAATTCATTTTGAGTTAATTTTTGTGTATTTGTAAGATAGTGGTCCAATTTCATTCTTTTGCATGTGGCTGTCTAGTTTTCCCAGCACCATTTATCGAAGAGACTGTCTTTTCTCCATTGAATATTCTTGGATCTCTTGTCAAATACTAGTTGACCGTATATGCATCAGTGTTTTTCTGGGCTCTCTGTTCTGTTCCATTGATCTATGTGTCTGTTTTTATGCCAGTGCCATGCTGTTTTGATTAATCTAGCTTTATAATAGAGCTTGAAATCAGGAAGTATGATGCCTCCTGCTTTGTTGTTCTTTCTCAGGATTGCTTTGGCTCTTCAGGGTCTTTTGTGGTTTCATTCAAATTTTAGGATTGTTTTTTCTACTTCTGTAAAAAATTCCATTGACATCTTGATAGGGATTGGATTGAATCTAGAGATGGCTTTGGGTAGTATGGACATTTTCACTGTATTCTTGCAGTCCATGAACATGTGATACCTTTCCAGTTATTTGTGTCTTCTTCAATTTCTTTTCATCAGTGTCGTGTAGTTTTCAGTGTAGAGATCTTTCAGCTCCTTGGTTAAATTTATCCCTAAGTATTTTATTATTTTTGACGCTATTGTAAGTGAGATTGCTTTCTTTGTTTCTTTTTCAGATAATTCATTGTTAATGTATAGAAATGCTATTGACTTTGAATGTCAAATTTTGTACCTTGCAACTTTACTGAATTTATTGATTAGATATAACAATTTTTTGGTAGAGTGTTTTTAGGATTTCCTGTATATAAAATCATGTGTTTTGTAAATAGAGACAATTTCACTTCTTCCGTTCCAGTTCTCTTGCTCTTTCTTTCTTTTTCTTGCCTGATTGCTCTGGCTAGGACTTGCAGTACTATGTTGAATAGGAGTGATGAAAGTGGGCATCCTTATTTTGTTTCTGATTTTAGAGGAGTATGATATTAGCTATGGGCTTGTCATTTATGACTTTATTATGTTGAGGTATATTCTTAGTTAAGAGTTTTTATCATTAATGGATGTTAAATTTTGTCAAAAGCTTTTTCTGTGTCTGCTGAGATATGATTTTTTTCTTTCATTCTATTAATGTGATGTATCGTATTTATTGATTTGTGTATTTGAACCATCCTTGCATCTTAGGGATAAATCCCACTAGATCGTGGTGAATGATCCTTTTAATGTATTGGTGAATTTGGTTTGCAAGTATTTTACTGGGAATTTTTGCATCTGTTTTCATCAGGGATCTTAGCCAGTAATGTCCTTTTCTTGTAGTGTCCTTTTCTGGCTTTGGTGTCAGGGTAATGCTGGCCTTGTAACATGAGATTGGGAATGTTCCCTCCTGTTCAGTTCTTTTTGGGGAGTTTTAGAAGGATTGGCACTAATTCATTAAATGTTTGGTACAATTCACCAGTGAAGCCTTCTGGTCCTAGGCTTTTCTTTGTTGGGAGATTTATTATTGAATCAGTCTACTTACTAGTAAATGGTCTATTCAGATTTCCTATTCTTGATTCAGTCTTGGTAGGTTGTATGTTTCTAAGAATTTTTCTATTTCTTCTAGGTTGTCCAGTTTGTTGGCATATAGTTGTTCATGGTAGCTTCTTATGATCCTTTGCATTTATGTGATATCAGTTGTGGGTCTCCTTTTTCACTTATAATTTTGTTGATTTGGGTCCTCTCTCTTTTTGCCTTGGTGAGT